AGCTTGACAGTTTGGTATCTTGGACGAAGCCTTCCATGTGAATCAGATTGATAGTATCTCAAATAGTCATTCATTTGGATGCACTTATTTATTTCTTTTACATTAGATTAGAGATTAGACTATAAAAAGAATATTTCCCAAAGAAGCTTGTGTTGTGTATAGTATTACTTGAATAAACCTCTCAAGTCTTGATTATTTCAAAATTAATATGTTCACATAACATAAAATTCTCCAAGGATATTATAATCCCACCATGGACATGAATCTTGTATTTGATATTTATTGCAACTGAAGAATCCCTCCATTTTATTTTGTTTGCTACATTTTGTTTTTGTGCATTTTATTTTCATTTTTTTAAACCTCAAATTCCTGCCAACAACAAGCTCTAAAATATTTTACATTTGTACTATATGGAATTTTTTTATGACAACTTTTATTCTATCATTTTAGTTGACCACTGATTACTGAACAATAAGTATTTTATGATGTTACCTTGTCATTAAAAAGGTCAAACACATTATTCTTGTGTTATTTATATTTTAAGAACTATTTACAAAGTTAACTGTTTTTTGCCAAGTTAACTGTCTGTGTCACCAAGGTAACTGTCTGTGATTTGAGAAAGTTATAAAATAAAAGAGTTAAACATTTCTTTAGAAAACAAACTTCAGAACATACAGACATAGCATAAATCTAAAATTCTTAAAATATCCCGTCTTAAAATAATAGTAGATATACAATTAACACAAGTGCTACCGTCAGATTGTTTTATTAACACCAGATACATAAGCTTTCAAAAGATCCACAATTGTATTAACTATTCGGTGGTAGTTGACCACTAAGTACAATCATATGAACATCAGGATCGGTGGTACATGTCTGGCTGATTCTCAACAGACTCTACAAACCAATCAATATTGGCTGTTACAGTACTATCCCCTCAGTTAACCCTTTTATCATTTGTCTATACAAGAATGAGAAAGAGTTCAGTTCAAAATGGTTTGATAGGAGCCATTCTAAGTTAATTTGGATTTTTAAAAAACTGATGTTTGGAGATATTCCCCCCCCCCCCCCCCAATCAGGTGCCACATGTTTCCTTTCATGACTTGTGAATCAAACATGAAGATAGCCTGAAGAAAGATGTTACACATGATATGGACACTAACAGTAGCCAAGCCGTAGCAATAATTGTAGATATAAAGAAAAGTATCACAGACCAAAGAAACATTTAACAAGCACATCACGCAACTTGGAAGGGATGAATCAGAACATCATGTAACTTGTAAGGGACAAATGCCATCTAACATTTTATCATTTGTCTCAAATTTACATTAGATGTTTACATTTATTTGTATGTAGAGATATCATTCCATTGTTACATTAGATGTTTACATGAGTATATACAGATATCTGTCCATTGATACATTAGATGTTAACATATAATTGTATATAGAGATATCATTCCATTGTTCTGATGCTAAGTGTGTATTTTTTTAAAATCACTTTTTACGTGTAACTCAGGAGTCTCAGTGAAAATGTATTTATAATATTCTTTAACAAGGAATTGAGTTAAGCAATCTTATTTTAAATCAAAGCTAAAAGTTGATAGACTAACAAAAAAAGTGCTGACTTCATCTTTACAGCCATTGATATGTCTTTGTATCATTCACCAAACATTTGGCAACAGCTTGTCAGACAAGAAATGGCTTAACAGCAATTAATATTATTAATATGATAAATAAAGTTAACACAAAAAGTTAACTAAATCATATAAAAGAAATCACGGAAAGATATTATTTCATCAAGTCATGTCAGTCTTAATCATATCTAAGTTGCCTCATTTATATTTGTAGGTATTAAAAGCAAATATTCTGATAACATATTCTCCACAAAACAATGTTCAATCACTATTTTCTGAACATCTGAGAAATAATTTTGTTAGAATGAAAACAGGAGGACTGTGAAAACAGAAGAATATAAGTGTTAAATTGTCAACCAATTTTGCTATTTAACAAACATGGTTTAAAATATGTAAGAAATATATATGTATATCATCTCAAAGAGGAGAAATGAAATACCTTTGTCATAACAAGAATCCTGTACTTCTGTCAATGTGGTGAAATTGTACACAGAAAAATATGTTAACACATTAATTAATTATACATTGTTGGCTCAATCTTTGAACCATTGCTTTACATATATTTATTTTTATCTATGTACACAAAGGACAATCAATAAAAGAGAACCATCTCCACAAACTAATGAGATATGGCTAATCAAGCGATAGAGCTGTTAGGGTGGGGTACTTTGAGATTTAATTGGAAATGAACATAAATGAATAATGGTAGAAATTATTTTTAACTCGTCTGAAATTGAAGTAAATTTGATATGCAAAGAGACCCTGAATTTATCTAACCAAGTTAATGCTAACCTGCAGAGATAACAAAATGATATGTTTGGCAGTACTGCAATAATACTGTCACTAACGAGATTTTTAGAGAAAGATTTTAATGGTGCCACTTTCCCATAAAACCCTTAAACTCATTTTCATAGGAAGATTTTTTTTAAATGAAGGCTGTCAGGAAAGTATATGGAACTGGCTTTGATGTTCCTTTAAAAAAAGTCTATTTGTGTTTAAGTATAGGTATACCAGTCAAGTAGAAAACCCTCTAATAAAAATATTCTAAGTTAATGACAAACAGGTTTTTTATTCAGCCCTCAATGGTCAGAGACTGCACATAAATATGGTCATACATGCACATTCTGTTATTCTATTCCTAGTACAACAAGTTACAAGAGATCTATTGTAGTTTATTGTTTGATCAACTGTAATTCAACAAATTCAAAAACCTCAGTCAGTCTAGTCAATGAAATACCAATTAGAAAAGAAACGACTCAAGCCTATTTACAACCAAATATTTCCACTATGAAGCTTTCAGAAATACACAAAGTTTAGCAACTGCATGATACCATTCACAATTCTATTTAAATTCAATTGTAATTGGACAAATCAGTTGAAGAATTAAACAAAATAAAATTGAGCACAAGTCTGATATCAAGCAAAAACCATACAAAGTGTAAAGTGTTAGACATTGTCAAATAAACAAAATTAAATAGATATAAATAAAATTTAAAAGTAGATGACCATTTTTCTTGTTGTCTCAAATTAAAGTTGCAATAATTAAGTTAACAATGACAAGTAACATTTTTTTAATCAGATGTGTCATTGATGCGATTTTAGAAAAGTATATTTTCAAACATGCAGGAATGGCGATGTAGTCACCTATAACTTACTGGCAGCATGGCTTTAAAATAATTAATTTAATTTCAGCTACGTGGGGATAATTTTATCTCGGTGAAGTAACATATTCAAAGTTTTCTTAATTCTATTTTGTAAAACTTTGTCGAGAACCTAATGGAACTAACATGAGGTCATCCAAATCACATTAATGTCAATGATATCATTTCATACCTGTCATATCCATAGCTAGCTTTATAAGAGATTTCTTTTTATCTTGTCAAAAGCCTCAAAGGAAATAAATAAATTTAGTTTCTGAGGATGACTTCATATATTAAAGTTGAATGAAGTTGTTCTGTTGTATGACACACACTCATGCCGAGCACTTCAATTGACATGCACTGACAACCAAGTTTTAAGACTTTTAAATTGCTACTGTTTTTTCTGTACAAGTTTTTCTCCCAGTTATAAAATTTGGGTTGAATATGCTGGCTGCGACTTGAATTGATGTCCAATCTCTTGACTTGAAGAAACTGACAAAAAACTTAAAGCTCCCATATTATCAACTTCAATAGTTTAAAAAACCTGAAATTTATCCTTTTAGCTGTAGTTAAACACTTGGTAAATCCTACAATAATGACCAGTCAGTCTTTATGCAAGTACAATTGTGAGAATCACTGAGAATAGGACATTAAAATGATTCGAGTCATTTCACCAGTCACAAATGATGGCAAGCAACGGGTCTCCATGAGGTAATAACTGAAACTTAACATTTATTCTAAATGACCTCAATGGGTCTCCTTGAGGTAATAACTGAAACTGAAACTCAACATTTATTCTAAATGACCTCAATGGGTCTCCATGAGGTAATAACTGAAACTTAACATTTATTCTAAATGACCTCAATTACACTTTTGGCACGGGATGCTTTTGTCTCCTTTTCAACATTTGATATCTAAAAGCAAAGAATGATCACTGAAAAGTGAATATAAGTTGAGCTGCTAAAAAAAAAAAGGGTTCATGCAATAAGAAAATGATTTCATCTCAACTCAAGTTTCTTTATTAGCTCAAAATTCTAATGGAAATTTTATGGGATACACCTCTCAGATCTGAACCATTAACAAAGAAACTATGTTTCATGTGTTAGCTCAAGTATTTGATTAAAATCTGTTCAGCTCTATGAAAGTAGCAAATCATACAGCGATAGCTTCAATGTTTTTATATCACAGATGTTAGTATAGTCAGCAACACAAAAACCAGTCAATGGAGCTGACAGGTTAAACATGGGTATTATATAGATCAAAGAATTCAAAGTCATTGGCAAATCAATATTATCCCTTTTGATTATGTGATTATTTACATGTTAAGATGTGCTGGGACATTAGTTCAAACCTTGTCAATCAATGTATCATTAAAGGTCAGATATTATAAGCCTATTGGCAAGAGATATTTTAATAATGACAATCAAAGAAGAAACCTTAGCAAAAATAACAATTTTTTAAAATGCCAAAAAAACAAAACTAAAAGCCTTTAAAATACCATCAAACAAAAACTTTCCAAAGAAGCATGAAAGGGAGTTTAAGAAACTTTGTTAAAAAAATCAATGACAAAACAAATTAATGTCAACAAAGAATCCATTCCTATGTAACCTAATTTATAGCCAAGTTTAAGCAAAATAAATTCTTTACCATTTTTATAATATGTTTTTTTTTAAAATGTTAAAGTTGAGTAAATGAAAGCAAAACATGATAGATTTTTAAAAGACACAAAAATTAAGATTATAAGGAAGTATTGAGAGCTCTATACTGGAATAAAACAAAACTATTGGACAATTTATGAATAGAAGAAATTTTTCAGGTTCATGTAACATATAGTTTTCAAAGACATTTCAATTTACAAAATCTGTACATTTGAGTAATTCTTTACTGTCATTAGTTTGCACCACAAACCATCCATAGTGTTCATTGTGGCCATGGATATTTACAAATGAAATACAGCAGTTCTTGAACTTCAGTCTGATAATATATGAAGTCCCTAACTGATCTCAAACAACTCCTATTTCCATCATATTCTGATATTTCCATTCTATTGATCTATAACATTAGTAAATCTAATGTGAATTCCCAGTGTGCCCACTTACCATCAAATATCTTAGACGAATCAAATGCTCTTCATATTAAAAAAAACAAGGATTGTTCAAAATTATATGAATGACAAATATTTAAATTCCATGTCATCGGTTTACTTGACATTACTTTCAAAGTAACCATTTCATTCATGGACAACTGATGCATTAAACAAAAATTATTCTGCTTGACAAGATGGTCGGCTGATACCTTATGGTGTTAAATGTGACTAATCACTGAGCTCCACAAGTTTGGTAAATTCTGAGTCTTCATAAAAACCACCATTCTGCTTCCGCTTGTCCTCCTCACCTCCGTTGACATCCCTCCTCCTCAGATTCTCACTAAATCCTGTAACTCCTACATCTGTCATGCCGATGTCATCCATATCCAAGGCATCCGCCCTTTCTTCTGAGTTTTCAAGCCGCATGAACCCGGACCGGGACCTGCGGTTCCCGGACTTTGATCTCCTGCAAGCTACGAACTGCAGATTGAGGTAAAGCAGACACAGAACAGCAGACAGGACCAGAGTCATGTACATAAGAGACATGCGGTTGACATTCTCATAGAGGTATCCGGTCAGAATGGGGATGGTCATCTCTCCTATTCCTGACCCGGCGACAAACACGGCTGTGGCCTTTCCTGTCAGGGTATAGTAATCATTGGCCCAGGAAATGGCTGTGGGATATATGGAAGACATCCCTAGGCCAAACAAGACGGTTCCGGCCCATAGCATTCCTGGCCCGGCACTGATCCAGAAGCTAAGGAAAATTGATCCCAGGACAGTTAAACACAGGTTGGTGACTATCATGCAAGGGGGTTTGAAAAAGCGTGCAATGAATATAGAGATGCCACGTCCCAGAGCCAGACATCCCCAGAACAGTGCCGCCAACGCTGCCCCTTGAGAGGGGGTGAAATTCGTTTCTGGGTTTCCGACTGCAAAAGTTGTTATCAGACCTCCAAAAGTCACCTCCATACCAACATAAGCCAGAAAGAAAAAAAAGAGTAGGCCCAGAATTGTGATCTTGTAGAATCTTGAATGTGGCTTTCTTGTAAGGTCTTCATGGGAGACAGAGTAGAGGGGGTACTTGATTCCTTGGTCATTACAGTACAAAACAAGAAAAGCCACAGCATTTATTGCCAAAAGCAGACCAATCGTGAAATAAACAAACTGAATCTTTGACACGTTTTGGATTTTTTCATAAAATAAACGGATCATATTTTCGTGCATGTCCTCAGCCCGTGTTCCATTTGTTGTGTTCACGAACACCTCATCAACGGCAGCACTAGGTTTAGAATTATATTTTGGTGTTTGGGTAATCGTTGGATCATTCTGTGGTGAAACTGTTTTGTCTGGGGATGTAGGAGGCATCAGGACGGATGATGTAGTCAGCGGTACAGTGGTGCTGGCTGTGGTTGTGGTGGTGACTGTAGTCGAAGAGGTCGTAGAAGTACCTGTTGATAAGCTAGATGAAGGCAATTCTGTCACCAATGCTAGCTTCGTTGCTTCCCCAGCAGCAAGGGTGGGGTTAGGAGTAGCCTGTGTTTCCCGAGTTGGGCTGGGATCTTCTTGGGTTCCATTTGAAGTTGATGCAGTTTCATTGATAGAGAAGCCTGCCTCGCCATCATCAGTTATATTGGTGTACAAAAAGCTTGTGGTTTTTAAAATCAGTGTTGTCGGTGAAACTGTTACAGCAACATGTTCATCCTCACTTTGGGGTTTATTCTTTAGCAATACTTTTATTTTTCCAGAGTTTATCTCTGAATCTGCATGTTCTTTACTAAGTACTTCAGGATTAAGATGCGTGGGTTTATGTGGACGTTCAGTGGTAGATGTGGTGACTGGTAGAAGAGTTGCCTCCAATGTTACGTTAGTAACGTTACTTTCTGAACTATTGTTGAAAAACTCAAGCATTGGAGGTATGTCTGTATCATTTGTAGCATCCCTTGGAGCGCGTTTGAAATTCAACTGAAAAATATTAAAATTTATGTCACGTCCAGAAACTTCTATTTTTTGCCTTTCAACAGTTTGTAGATCCGTTAAATCTGGCACATTTCTGACAAATCTTATGTCATCAGACCAATCTGGTACATGGAAGTTGACAGGATGAGATCCACCCTGTGTCAGATTATAAAGGAAGGCTGGATCGTAATTTAAAATAAAAGGCCCAGCCATCAGTGGAGCCAGGAAAGCTCCAATGCCGAAAGAGAAATGTAAGAGTTGCATGTACGGAGCACTCTTCTTTCCCCAGATTTTGATGCAATAAACATTGCCACCTGAAATGAAAATAGCACACAGAAATTCTGTATTTCTATTCACAATATTGTTACTCCACAGAAACAATACCAAGATTACAAAATTATTACACTTCCCCAAGAAATATGTTTAAAATATAAGATTTTATTCACTCCATTTTCTTCAGGTCAACTACAAGCAAAGAGTGATAAATATAACTCTAAATTTTTTAAAATTTAACTGTTTTATTTCTTCAATAATTTTACTCTATTTATTAAATGGATTAACACTTACCCGTATCTAGGACCCCAATGGCCACACCTTGCATACAAATGAGTAGTGAGAGAGCCAAGAGTGCGCTGCACCAAGGGATTCCAGCTGTTGCTAAGGCGGTTGTTGCGAGAGTGTAGAAGAGTAAAATTTGTTGATCAAAGAAGTCAAAGAGAATGCCTCCAACAACCGATCCTATCAGGTAACCAACTGAGCGTGCAGTGAAGATGTATGACATGTGCTCTGTATTACCACCAACTCTGGCTCCAAGATCTAGAAGTGTTGGACCAGGAATGGCAAGGCACAAACCCTAAAAATATAAGAAATATTCAGTTAAAGTTTGTGAATCATTAAAAATGATTTAAATATCAGCCATTTAAAATTTTAAAAATGTGCACGACATTCTCTAAAATATCGATGAGCATTAAATTGAGGAATAGTGCTTCAATGTTGGAAACTCAAAAAATCCTGTTTATGTTCATAATCACAATGTTTAAAAAAAGTTGTTACAACTAATCTGGCCAAATCAAGATCAACCTTCTATGTTTATATGGTGGGATATAACAGAGTCTGCAACATATCACATAAGCTTTTAGGAAATTACAAAAATGTATTAAAAGACTGATAGTACCTTAAGTAGATCAATAAGACTTGAACATTTAATACTTGGAGACTTACCAAACAAAAGAAGGCCATAGAAAGGGCAGCAGTTTTCCTAACTCTGCGCAACCAAACTACTCTTTCATTTCCCTCACCCTCTTTATGAGCCAATAAATTTTCTTGGTCAAAGATTGTTTCCTCTTCTTCTTCCATCATCATTATATTTTATTATTTATATACTGTCTCGCAAAGGGGCAAAATTTCCCTGAAAAAAAAAATATTGAAATAAATACAATGCAACGAGAAATAAAAAAGAGCATACAAATAATTTGGATTATTTTTCTCTAATTGTAGCAACTAATAAATAATTGAAATTTTATTTATTCAATGATCAGTCTTTTAACAAAATGAAATGAAGACACATTGAATCTCCTGGTCCTAAAGAGCCTAATCTGATTAGTTTTAATTTGATGACACTAGATCTAGGTGAAGTCTCCTTTAATAAAATTAGTTTAATTAATAATTAGTTAAGTGACATGAGTGTGAGGTATAGAGAACAACTAAACTCAACACCAAGAGCCTACAGATTTTTATCAATAAATGTTCGGTAAATATTTTCTTCGGAATTTTAGTATTTAGGCTATAGTTATAGTCTCTTTAAAAAATTAATAAATGACTTATATGAGTAATTTTAGTGCAGTTGTAGCTAAAAGTGCAAGTACAGGTGAGTAAATTATTTCTTTAAGTATTATATTTGCATGTAAACTCACGTCTGTTCTTTATAAAATTAACTCCAGGCAGAATTAGTTTATTTGATTTATAAACTGTCTTTGTACAGCCCCCCAGTGAATTAACTTTCCATTTGTTTTGTATTTTTCACCCTATATGCCAGATTTTTGCACCTATAAGTTGTTATGCTAATGGAACTTTCAAACTATAGGCATGTTAATAAAAACGAAACAAGACATTAAATTTATATTAAATTATATATTCATATTTAACGTACATAATAGAACTTTCTGGAAAATTTTAAAACCAACCCCGAAAAGAGTGGTTTTTATTAGGCTACTCTTAAATCCACCAATATTTAAATATGGATTGTGATGATATGGCTACAAGGCTTGGCCTATATCCATCAATTCATGCCTAGACCTATATTATTGTCTAAGCCTACTGGCATTTATATAAAATTCCAAATTAGTGATTATTATAAGTTCATTACCCTCCAGTATTTGAATATGGATAATTCATACACTGTTTAAAGATGCCATAGAAATCAAATAAAAAGACAATTTATTATTAGTTAACTCAGTGGTTGGAAAATCACGGCTCACGAGCTGCATGCAGCTCTTTAGCAACCTGAGTGCGGCTGGGCCAGTTGGCCACAAACTGGTTTTGGCTCCGAAAAACATGATTTTTGACAGGTTGTTGAAAAGAAATTAGGCTCTCAAAAATTTGTTAATCGTCCTGTTGCTGATTTTTGGCTCTTTTGACTAATGAGTTTGCCGACCACCGAGTTAACTATTACTGCCAGGTGCTAATTTAATAAAGAATACACATAAGTTTACATGCGAAAATACGAAATTCTTTAAGATATAATGTACGCACATGAACTTCACATTTACCCTGTTTCATATTATACAGCATTCACAGGGTAAAAATCAAATAATAATAATGCCTATGCCTACGATGTCTACATACTCAATCCAAGGCCATAGTCAATTGTATAGTCAATACAATTTCAATACACAAACACTTAACTGACACTGCCAAGACTAATGCCTGACATCCATGGGACATCACTAGGAAGATTTAAGACTAAGAACTAAACTAAAATTAGTAAAAGTGCAGTTCAGGTGCGTATATTATTGCTTAACGCATTTCGCATTTTCTCATGTAAACTTACGTGTATTCTTTATTAATTAAATACAGGCAGTTATAGTTAACTCATTCTGAACTAAACAGCGCTTTTCTTCTTTTTATTTGATTTCTAAAGTGTCTTTAAACATCCCCCAACCAAAATTACAGAGCCCCATTTGTTTTAGGTTGTTTTTTTTTCACCCTTGGCCAGATTTTTAATCACCTATAAGTTAGTATGCTAAACGAAAATTTCCAAACTGTAGGCATGGGTTAATGTTGAGTATCATCACCGTGACGTCATTTGCGTGTTTATTATGTTACAGTGAATTAGGGTTTAGGTTAGGTTGAGGGATCGATTCAAGGGTTCAGGTTAGGCATAGGGATCGATTTAGGGTTCAGGTTAGGCATAGGGATCGATTTAGGGTTCAGGTTAGGCATAGGGATCGATTTAGGGTTCAGGTTAGGCATAGGGTTACATTTAGTTTAGGTTTAGTGACAGAATTAACTGGTTGTGTCAACCAAGATGGTGGAAACCCCAGGGAGATTTCTCAACATTTACCTAGGCATGTTCACAAAAAAGAATGAAATACTGGATTTTTCATTACGCACTAGGCTCCCCCCCCCCACCCCTTCTTTTTTTTTCCTCTCAGAGCCCTCAGAATATATGGGCTGTCCCTTGCAGTTTTTTTTTTCTCCACGGGCCCCAAAAAAATAGGGGGTTTCCCTGTAGGTGTGGGGGGGGGGGGGGGGGGGGAATTAGAAGTGGAATACCCAGTAAGGCAGCAGACACACACGTCATTATAGTTATGGAGTGGAGCTGAAAAGGGGGGAGTCCACGAATTTGTCCCAATGTGTGATCACGTTCCACTTTAGAAAAAAAATATTTGTGACGTTGCAGAAATAGGGGAAATCGGAATTATAGCATGGGGTCATTTAGTGATAGTTATCTCATACTGATGGCTGCAAATACGTTGTCCATGATTGGTCAGCTCTAATTTGAGCACCCCTCCCATTTTTTCGTATGCAAATGCACTTATGTTGACTGATTAGCACTAAGTAGAATGAAAATGAGGGTGAGGCCTAGTGATTATATATAATAATACGGACTCGTTTTGCTGTATTGCTAGTAGTGGGATCACTTTGTTCAAATGGCAGGAAGACCAAGAAACAATAATTCAAATTGTTGATCCAACAGAAATTTTAAATGATGCAGCATTTGATTTATATGCGCACTTTGTGAGGCAACAAATAATGTTAATACAACTATGGAATTTCTCACAAGGCGCCTTTGAAGAACAAAATGGAATGTGATAATTGCAATGTGGCTTGTAAACTGTGTACGTCAAGTATGTGAGTTCCTTATAAATCCGGTTATATTTGATAGTAAAGTTATAAAATAAATACAACAAGATACATCCAATTGGGCAACTTTTATAACGTATCTTTAAAGACAGAAGAGTTATCCTTGATTTACTACAATGGCTCCGTAACAGATAAAAAAAACCATTAAAATTTACTTTGTAAAATTTGTTAAAATGTTGTTGTATTAAAAAAAAAAAGATGTCATTTTACTTTAAAAAAATTTTTTTTTTTAAATTCACATTATTTTACATGCCAAAATACCACATTCGACCAGAAATGATGTACACACGTGAACTGCACTTTTACCTTTCTCAAATAATTATAAGTTAATTCATCTAATAATTTTTAAATTTAAAGCATTAATTATGATAATTATCTTTTATTTGATAACAAATTTTGTCTTACAATTACAAAACTGAAAACCCAACAATAATAATATTTTTAATATTTTTTAATAAACCAAACATCCCAGTCTAATCACTTTTCCCGGTCCGAATAGCCACGTTGTAAATCATTACTAATTTACATTCGTTCAATAGAGTATAAGTTTAGGAATGTTGAAATCTGTGACCATTTTTCATTTAGACAGGTAGAGTAGAGTAGAAATAGTCTTTTACTTTTAGTCAATTTAGTCAGTCTGAAGTCTGAGGAACTGAAGTCTTGAAATGAGTAGTGATCAGTTTTCAGTATCAAGTTAAATGTTTGTTGGGCTGTTTCCTCTTTTTAGGGGGGGGGGGTTGTAAAGGAAAATTTAAAGCATATCATAAAAAATCGTTAATATTAATTATTATTACTACTTTTAAAAAACTTCCGTGGCGTAGGACCTTACCTTGTTTCCTTTTTTGTAGCTAACTTATCACAAAAAGGGCAGGCTACTCTTGGGTTAAGGAAATGTCAAGAAACATTTCATAGAGGTCTGCCTGATTGAAAAACTAGTTTAATTTGAGATCACTGAACAAATTATGCATATAATATATTAAAAGGACTAATGAAAATTTAATTTATAAAAATGGTACAAACATATTTAATTGGTAATTACATCAGAAAAAAAGAAAAGAAAAAAATAATACATTTATGGTTTTTCATCGACTGATAAAAGTTTGGACAAGTCAACAAGTTCATCTTTGACCTGGCTATGAGTTGATTGTCAACAAATAAACAAATTCTGTAGAAACACTAATTGCTGTAGCAAGCAAGATCAAAACCATGAACGTCATGTCAACGGTGAAAGAATTATCTTACTGTTGCACAAAGAATCTGCACTATGTAACTTGCATAATAATAGGACTGTTAAGTGTGACCGCCTTTGGCAATTTTCAAATGTTTGTATCGAAACAATCATTAAGTTTCTGGGACTCAAGTAAGTTTAAGTAACTTGCTCGTTTAAGTTAGTTGAGTTTGCTAGTTTTATTTCTTAGCGACATATACTTGATAAACATTGAAACTAATAATACAGTCACAGGATACTTATTAATACTTCATATTTTCTAAACTAATAGTTCCTGGTTAGTCACTCACTCATACTCCGTGACAGACAAGAAGACAAGAGCTAGGCAGTCATTTAATATAATAGATTCTACATCTACACACATAGTCACATAGCAATGGCAATAGTCTATAGTCTTTAGTCTATAGTTACCTGATAGTTTTTATTTCAGTAAATTCAGTAGTCATACTACTCATCATACTCATACTATACTGACTATACTCATACTCTCAATGATTTGACAATGATTGAATGACAATGAATAATGGGCTAATGCTGAGAATTGGCATTGGTGCCATGACTATGACATCATTAGGGATACATTTAGTTTTTGGGTTCAGGTTAGGTTTAGGGATACATTCATTTAGGTTTCAGGTTAGGTTTAGCGATACATTTAGTAGGGACCTCGGAATGGCCCGGAACTACCCGAAAAACAGGTATCGTGATTTCGTTGTCAAAATTGCGACCTCCACTTTTTAATTTACCCAGGGTAGTGTTGTTTGGAATTTTTTTTGCTGAAGTTAGTTTTGTTAGTTAATTCTAATTCCGCCCTCAACTTAAAGCAAACATGTTTGTTGTTCATTTGACACTTTTCTCTTAGTAAAAATGTAATGGTTTGACTTTGAAAATTGAAGGTAAATAATAGCTAAATTCACTCATTCATATTTTTTTTTGGAAAACACACCTTTTTTTAAAAAAAAATACCACTTTTAGATGAATTTATAAACTACAACATATCCAAAATTCGTGAGGTTAGGGCCAATACATTGGTAAGATATCTACATACATAATTTTTGTCACATGTGTCCCAAAATTACCTATTATCGATAATTGACGTTTTTTAAAGTAAATGACTTGATGTACTTTGGAAATCCAGCACATAAGTCAATAATAATTCATTTTAAAACAAATTAACATAATTGAATAGCACCAATACTTATTTGTCATATGATCTGCTGCTTTTTAGAGAATTAATTGGGGAATGTGATTGACATTACAACTTAGACAATTAATTAAATAGAAAATTATAAAATTATAGTATTTTTATTATTATATATTACTCTATATTTATATATTATAAAATTATAGTATTATTATTATATATTTATATATGTGTGTGAGTCCCCTGTGAGCGCTAGCCTCATTCCAACTTATTATTGTAGGACCTATTACATATTTTTGTAATTATATTTTTTATAAATTAAAAAAAAAAACTAAATAAAAATTGTTAAAAAGATATTCTCTTACCTTTGATATTGAAATATCCTATATTCACTCACAAATCACAATATTTCACATGAAAAATATCATATAATCCTCAGTATTCTTCAAGAAATAACACACTTTCTGCCACAATAATCCAAGAATTACTTAAGGTATTACTAAAGAACAATCATAAAAACTTATACTTACCTCAAGTAAATTACTAGAACTTAATTTATTTTCAATCAACTGCCAAAGTTGATTCTATCAATACATGTTGATTTGTGAAACACCTTTACTAACTTAAAATAAATGACATACTATTTTTTGGTCATATTCAGACATTCATATGATATGGGACTAAAATGCATACTAGATACTACTTACCAGCTAAGTGCTATTTCTTATTTTTATACCGTTTTTTCTGTTGTTTTGTTCGCTGACGAAGGCTTTCTGCCGACACGTTCGCTGTTTTGTTACGTTTATTTTTTCAGGTTTAACCCTACTCTGTTTTACTCATTTTATTTTGTACTAAGCTGATTGCAGTCTCTCCCCTTATTACCCCTACTAAATAGTTAGTAAGTACTGGGCTAAATGGGTAACTATATTTAGTATGCTATAATAAGGCACTTCCATATCACCAGAGACACGCCGAAAACAGGGTATTGTGATTTCGTTATCAATATGGCGACCTCCACTTTTTAATTTACTGAGAATCCCATTGTTTACGATTTTTTTTAAAATTATAGCCCAGCCTGTACATTTTATTTCCACCCACAACTTAGTAGGCCTACACATGTCGATGATGTTTTATGTAGACCAGTGGTTCTTAACCTGGGTTCAATCGAACCCCAGGGGTTCGGTGAGTCAGTCTCAGGGGTTCGGCGGAGGTAAAAAAAAAATAAGAAAAAAAAAATCATTCGGTGAATGCACATATGAAACTGGTGGGTTTCGGTACCTCCAAAAAGGTTAAGAACCACTGTTGTAGACACTTAAGTTTGAAAAGAAAAATTGAGTTCTTAACTTTGAAAATTGAAGATAAAATAATGCTAACTTTACTCATTCTTTTTTTTTTTTTGTGTGGAAAAGGTGTATTTCGTAAATAAAAAGTGCTGGTAGATAACTACATAATTACAACATAACAACAATTTTTGAGGTTTGGATCCAGTTCAATGGTGAAAAAATGAAATAGGGGTTGTCCAATAATTATGTCAACAATTTTTAATCAATTTTTTACACCCCCCTCCCCCCCCCCCACACTTGTCAACAACTGACAAACTTTCAGTGACCCCCCTATTTAATTATGTCAACAATTTTTTATATTATCATAAATTATAATATAAATTGATTTATAAATACAATTTACTTTGTGCTGATCTATTTTAATCACACAAAATTGTAGGAAAAACATTTCATTATATGTTTAGCTTGTTAATCAACAAGTTAAAAAAATTTTACACTTAAATTTTATAATGCAGAATCAAGTAAAAGGTTGTTAAAGACTAAATATCATTGTTTCTGGAAGTATAAATATGATTATTTTCAATAAAGTATATTTTCTAGCTGCTATCATCTTCTCATGGAGTAGCTAGGCGTTGCTCTATTGTAATAATGGACATTGGGGACATGATTTGGGTAGGGCAGAGTGACATTTGCGCGGCCCCCCCCCCCATGAATTTACAGGTTTTATTTAAATTGCTATGGACTGTAGCACCTCCAGTAATAAACGACTTAACAAGCCGACCAAGATTTGGTTTTCCCCTCCCCCTTTCCACTCCCTGAAATGACGCCCCCATATGGGCCTAGTCTATTAGTAGCTGATTTATATATTTATTTATTTTTATTTATTTATTGATTATATAAATATAGGCCTAGAAAAGTATAGTATTGTAAGTATAGGCCTATCCCCACCCCAGCTCATTATTTGTGGGACCCATCAGAGGCGTAGCGAGGGTGTTTGGCGCCCGGGGACAAGATCCATTTTAAAGCGCCCCCTTTTCTTTTTTTCAACTCTCAAACCCATTATTTTTACCAGTAATATAATATCAAAGCACATTTTGGCATCACTATCTAGCTTGCGCCCGGGGACATCTGTCCCCCCCCCCTGCCCCACCCTCGCTACGCCTCTGGGACCCATTATTTGTTATATGTAATGATATTTTAATGAATATTATGATTCTTTAGGCAAAAATTAAGTAAAAATGTAAAGCAATATTCACTTACCTTTGGTATTGAAAAATCCTATATTTAATCACATATCACAATATTCCACAAGAGAATTATGACATAATCCTCAGTATTCTCAAAGAAAAAACACACTTTCTGCCCCAATAATCCAAGAATTACTTAAGATTTTACTAAAGAAAAATCATAAAAACTTGTACTTACCTCAAGCAAATGACTAGGTCTTATTTTAAATTCTATCAATTGCAAAGTTGTTTTTAACAATAGATGTTGATTTGTGAAACAAAGATTACTAACTTAAAATAAATGACATACTAATTTTTTTAAATACATGTATAGAAAATGGTAAAATAAAAAGTAAATTTGTCAATTTTAACTTAATGAATCAAATAATCCCTGTATTATTTGTTTATACTTATAATTTTTAAACAATTCCACAGAAAATTTGAAATTAATATCTAACGCAGGGCTGTCTTAACAACATAGGAGGCCCTGGGCACAGCAATGCACTGGGGCCCCCTAGCAACACAACATACCTGGGCCGTGAGAAGGGGGGCAAAGCAGGCACTGGCCCCATGCTCAAACAGTTGGGGGGACGGGACAGTTCCTGCTCCCCACCAACTCACCAAGAGAAATAAAAATGTAAAATAAAAATAAGCATTCATTCAATAAAGTTAAACATCGATGAAATCAATTTATTGATACAAAAAACAAAATCATTCAAAATCAATAATATTAAGGATGTCATTTTCCATGCACATAAGTGAAAGCAAATTCAAACTTTTTTGTCCCATTGTACTATGAAGCTGATTCTTACCTTGTTTCCTTATTTTTTTTAATTCATGTTTGGGAAAAGTAAAACTTGTTGACGAGAGTTATTCCCCTTTAAAAGTTTTAAAATGACCAACTTTGATTCGAATTTATAATATTAATTTTGGAATGTGCTGATATATATCCTGGGTTAAAATTGGGAACTTTGTTATTTTAAATATAATTAAATTGTAAAAATCTTTCAATATTCATTAAAAATATGTAAAGTATGAAGTCTTTATTAAATTTATTTATTTATTTATTTAGGCATTTTTATATAGCGCTTATCATAAAGCTCTAAGCGCTTTACAATTATTAAAACATGTAAACTAAGTAAATACAAATGAGATACTAGGATAGTAACTACTATTTTATAGAAACAATGAAAATGACTATAAAACGAGGACACTTTGACACTTCAGGATCAACCCGAAACAGAAAATGAGGTAGGGCAAGGAGGGTGCATCACAGGTCATAGGCGGACCTAAACAGATGAGTTTTAAGGGACTTTTTGAAAATGGACGAGGTTTCACTATGACGTATATGGAAGGGGAGCTGGTTCCAGAACGTGGGCCCATGGAAGCAGAAGGAGCGTTCACCGATGGTCTTAGTTTTAGTTCTTGGGATTGAGAGGGTTCTACTGTCAATGGAAGAACGTAGTTGTCTTGTGGGGATGTAAGGAAGCAACAGTTCAGAGAGATAGACAGGAAAGTGAGGGTCAGTGAACGAGTTGAAGCAAAGATTGGCAGACTTGTATTTGATGCGAGAGGATATTGGAAGCCAGTGGAGTTGCCGCATGTGTGGTTGAACGTGGTCATGTTTCTTTGATTTAAAAATGAGTCTGCATGCTGAGTTCTGTGCCTTCTGAAGTTTTTCTATGTGGTGTTGAGGAATGCCTGAGAGAAGAATGATACAGTAGTCAAATTGAGTCTCCTAGAAACGTGGGCCCTGGACCAGTGCCCACTGGGCCCATGCCTAAAGACGGCCTGATCTAAAGAATATTATTATTATTGTTGGGAAATTTTTAAATGTATTTATTAAAAAAAGGTAATTAATTAATACAAAAAGTGACAAGTCGGCATATTTTATACATTTTCATAAGGAAAATAATAAAGATTTTTTTTTTAATTTTGCGGAATAATAACAAAAACTAAACTTATATTTTGTGGCTTTATTTAGAAGACCTCATATTCAACTAACTTCCCTGAAAATATTATATTTTTGTCTCATTTTTTTAATAAAGATTATAGTTATAGGTGTAAAAACAAAGGCAAAAGAATGTTGAGGAAAACCCCATAGTGAAAAAGTGTTTTTGAGGTCATTACTAAAAAATTCATAACCTTTAAACTACTAGAAATTTGATCTTGGTGTTTTTGTAAATCTTTCTCTAGGCTCTATGATCTGTGTTGTTTTTTTTTTATACTTTAAAAAATGTTTTGAAATTTTCATCTTAGTGCTTAGTCATATGTGTTTAGTGTAAGTTAGTATGCCTTATTTATTAATTTAGCAGTATATTTTTTAGTCCTAGACCAAGAGATTAACCAAATAAATAAGCTAAGTTAGTAAAAAGAACATATTTATATAATACAGACATAAGTTGCATGCTAACACAACCAGGCTAATAAATAGGATAGTGTTGAATAAAAAGTATTTACACTATGGTACCCTCAGTGGTGTAGCTAGGATACATAATAATAATAATAAAGTTCACTTCAAAAACACGCTTCATCCCCAAAGGCTCGAAGCGCAGCACATGACATCTAAGGGCAACACATGACATCTAAGGGCAACACATGACATCTAAGTATTACGAAATTCCAAGACTATGAGAGCTCATGCAGACCACGATATTTGCCCTTTCCAGGAAACAAAATGCTAAATGCGCTGCCTGGGTGAGAATGACCCTTTGCCCCCCTTCCTATGCCACTGGGTACCCTAAACTAAATGATTAACTAAATGTTTACCCAGCTAATTAAAAAAAGGCTAGGCCTAAGATTGGCTAATACTTAGGCTAAGTAGATGGTAGCTTGCCTCAGGAGCCTAATAAAAAATAATTTTGTCTGAAGTCTTAATACTTTAATTTATGTAGTAATATATTTAGCGAGATGAAATGCACCACATTTCTTGTGTGATAAACCAAAACACAATTTCACTGAATTCTTTGTTAATTAGAAATATATCCTTGACCTGAAGGGGATATGATTGTCCCTTGCCATATTATGGTTTACTTTTTGCAGTCTCGCGTATATATCTAATATAGATACCCATACAGAATTTTATATGTTGTTAAAATTACGTAGTTTTAAGCGTGTAGAAAGTGTTTAAGAGCATAGGAAGTGTTTATGATAGTATGTGGAAGGTTATAACAATGTGGGAAATGTTTATAGGAGTGTGGGGAGGTTAATGACAATGTGGGAAATGTTTATAGGAGTGTGGAGAGGTTAATGACAATGTGGGAAATGTTTATAGGAGTGTGGAGAGGTTAATGACAATGTGGGAAATGTTTATAGGAGTGTGGGGAGGTTAATGAGAATGTGGGAAATGTTTATAGGAGTGTGGGGAGGTTAATAACAATGTGGGAAATGTTTATAGGAGTGTGGGGAGGTTAATAATAATGTGGGAAATGTTTATAGGAGTGTGGGGTTTTATAAAGTCTTAAAATATATAGTTAAATATCGGGTGGCCACTTCACATATTTCTGCCTATAGCAGGAGGTACTTGAACCTATTTCCCGTGATGGATGAGGGACCACTGTATAATTGCAAGATATGCCAAAATAAAGAAAACAGACTGATGTTTTATCTCCTGTTACTTACATTTTAAGTAACAATGGTTACTCCTATTAAAAACATGATTATTTCATTTACATGTCCCAAAAAAAAAAAATAAAAAGAAAAAAGATTTCTCTAATGTGTCTTCCAGGGACTTCAGTCTTATCACGCTTCCTATGGGATTTACTGCTGCTGATTACTTTCATCGTTCAACATAGTTTGATGGCATCATCATGGTTCAAAGTCCAAATGTCATCCTGGCTAAACATTAGCATATCGGAAAGACTCATCTACTTAACAGTTTCATCATGTACTCTTCTGGTAAGGTTTCTTTTGTTCTATGAAAGCATTTTTGAATTTTCTTCAAATCAGAAGTCATGTTGTTGTTTTTTTGTAACTAGGAGGAAGTTGTAACTTCCAGACAAGTTAATACATTTCTAAATGCCATGACATGCCTGTACAGTGGTTGCCAGGGCCATTATTGAGCTTAAGCTCCCAACAGTTGTGACATGCCTGTAATGTGGTTGCCAGGGCCATTAATGAGCTTAAGCTCCCAACAGTTGTGACATGCCTGTAATGTGGTTGCCAGGGCCATTAAAGAGCTTTAGCTCCTAACAGTTGTGAAACCCCGCAATTTTCTTGCCAGGGCCATTAGTGAGCTTAAGCTCCAGAGAGTTGTGACTCGCCTGTAATGTACTTGCCAGGGCATTAAAGAGCTTAAGCTCAGCCCCAAAACGAGAATCAACATATTTATTTTCTTCTACCAACAATATTTGGTATATTAGCATGTTACTAAAAAAAATTTTATCTCATTATTTTAGATTGTTATTACGCAGTGGAACTCAATCCCAGAAGTCTATCTCTGGTTGGTGGACACCCAAAGACATTTTCTTCTGTGGCTATTTTTCTTACTCCTTCATGTTACCGCCTGGTTACTCATGTGTTTAGAGATCATCTTGATGGACTGTGGAGAACTGTTGGGATTCAGTCAGGTAATGGAAATAGGATTTCAGAAATATCTTAGGGGTCTTTCCCAAATTAAGTCATGTAGGGGGGAGAGGAGGTTGAGAATTTGTGATATCTTGATTTTTTTTTAAAATCTATAATTTTCTAATTTTGAATATATCTTTATTATTTATTAATTTTAAAAACATTAATTTAAGTTTAAGGCCAAAATGGAAAAATTACACATTAACAGTTGTGGCCAGTTTACATTCGACTTGGTGAGGACTTTGTTGTTTTACGTCACAGTTTTCTAATGATACTACATCCTAATCCATTATGGGGAAGTGTTACAGGAAAAAATAAAATCTTAGTTCATTTATGAAAATTTTATGTATGTTTTTATTTTTTTAGGTGCGACGTGACACGGGGAGTGGTGGTTAAGAATTTGTGACACTCTGTAATGGGGGGAGGTGGGGTCTAAAAAAGGTCATTTTTTTGTGTGCTGTAATTTGCGAACAACCCTTTCAAAATGAACAATATATCTTTTTGTTTTGTCCATGTAATTAAAGGAGTGCTTCTAATGTGAAGCAACTTTTGTAGTCATGGGCTAATTTTTCTTCAAAGAAATTAGATAGAATGTATGACATTTTGATATCTTTTTGGGCAATTTTAGACAAAGCCACATACACTCTTGATGTTTCCAGGCCTGAATGACACTTGCAGTTCCTCATAAGGAGGCAAAGAATTGAGTCCGAAATCTTACATGGTTCCCAAGTTGTTTTGGTTGGCCACAACCAACTGGGATTGGAGTCATTTAAATTCATTCACACTAATAGTCCAAGGGAAACAACCAGTTGATCCATTTAAAAATTATAATAACAACCTGAAATTATAAATTATAATAAAAGTGGATGAGTTTATAAGGTGAGTTTAATTTAGTTTTTTTTTTCTTGTCACAGATATATAATCACTACAATTCTCTGCCGTGGCCAATGTCAAAGAAAGCACGCATGCTGCGAGAGATTTACTCACGTATGAGGCATCCTGGTGCCATTTTGTTGACAGCCATGCTCTGGCTGCATCCACTCATGACTTTGGACCGCCTGATTTTGGCCTGCACTTTGACCAGCTACATAATTGGCCGACACAGCTTTGAAATGGTCCACTATGAGTTTGCAGAGAAATATTTTACTCTGAAAACTTTTCAAAGGGAGTCATCAGTGAGTTATGATTACATCACAGAAAGCTGAAATATTCTGATATGAATTTACCAATGAAATTCAAATGATATCAAATATCTGTTTGATTTTGTTTTCTGAAAAGCCTTATATTAAAATTTAGTTACGCTATCTATAGCTGACAGTAACAATATTATGTTCTACCTCTGCTTGTCAAACAAAAATATTGTAATACATTATACAGTTGCAGTTTATTTGAGAGGGTGACCTTTTTTGAAATCATTTATCATAACTAGTTTGTTTCTTTGTGGCAAAATCTTCGGAAGGCTAATTTACCCTCTGCCCGTCATTTTATCGAGCGGAAACCTGGCACATGGAATTGTTCCCAGGGACAACACATTCTTTCAAATGTTTAACCCCAGCCCCAAAAATCAGATTTTCCTTTGTTTTCAAACTACTTGTTGCCGAAGGTTCGAGAAAGTTCATACAGTTTACTAGGGGTTGGTTCTTTTTGTAAGTTAAGTTTTGAGTCTTTGCCTATTTTAGTTCTATCAGCAGTCAAGGTTATAAATTATTTGTTTGACTGAAGACGGTAAAAATATTGAACTCCTTGTTACTTTTGGTCATCCAATGGAATTCACCCCATGTTTCTAAAAGTGGGCAGGTAAGTTCATAGCTGTGGTTTGGTCAGCACCAGGTGTAGTCCTTGATTTGCCCTCAAATGATTTCTTTTATTTGATATGAGATTTTCATCAAGCTTTATTATGAAAGGCAACTATCTATCTATTCAATTTGCTTCCTTGAGCCAATCAACGTGCAGGAAAATGACATGTTTTTATATATTATCATACATGTAATATTTAGCTATACTATATGATCATCTGAGGTCATGTGTTACAGAGTTTATTATGGATGGATGCTAAATGAGGAATTAGATTCAGGCACTGTTCCTTTGGTAAATAAAAAGAATCACATTTATTTCTCAATGGTCACCTCCCTTTGCTGGAGCCACAAAGGTTTTTGTATAAGAAGTCAATTGTGTTGAAATTACTCTATTTGATGATGCCACTATTCTCTTTATTTGATGCTGCCACTATTCTCTTCAGAGCATTAGATACTACCAAGTGGTTGTTTTATTTATCTATATAAAATTTCTATTTCTATATGACTGCACATTGTAAGAAATGCCTCAATTATTAGCAGATATTTTAAAAATGTTTTGTACATTTGAGCAAACCATAAATAATGTCACACTATTTAGCACATTCTTAGCCCTTCGTTCTGTCACAAATTGTAGACACCCTTGTCAAAGGTGGACATAAAACCCCCCAGATTTGTGACATTTTGGATGGAACTTTTCATATATGTACTGGAGCTATTTTATTATATCCACTTTATGCATAGACCAGCTTTGTGTTATATAACATTGCTGGAATGTTTATATTAAACATATTATCAAGGTGTTTTTAATGTTATGTTGTGGAAAAGTGGTGAAACAACTGGAGTAAACAAAAAGTAAATGAAACATTTTTTTACATCTGGTCTATACCCATATGAAGTTATAACCCAATGACCTGTCTATTTTAGTCCCAGGCTATTGAGTGAGATAACATGACATATCTGTTAACTGAAATATGATAAATATATTTATTAACTCAGGACAAAAAACAGTTAACTGTTTGTGCAACACTATTTTATTTGAAACAACAAGTCACTTTCCGTGGGTCACACTTTGACCCCCCCATTGTAGTAAAGTACCAGTAAACAAAACAATTTCTGAAAGCATGAACATCAAGAGATGTCAGTAGACCTGACATGGGGAGAGGGGGGGGGGGGTGGAGGGGGCCAGTTATTGTTGACAATTATAAACGTGAACACGTGTCAGTTTAGATATTGTGTGTATAAACAAAACCAGGGAAACTTGCTAGCTGCCTTAATTAAAGTACCAGTAAACAAAACAATTTCTGAAAGCATGAACATCAAGAGATGTCAGTAGACCTGACATGGGGAGAGGGGGGGGGGGTTGAGGGGGCCAGTTATTGTTGACATATATAAACGTGAACACGTGTCATGTTAGATACTGTGTGTATAAACAAAACCATGGAAACTTGCTAGCTGCCTTAAACATGCAGTCGATGATGCCCCAACTTGAAACTAATGGTTTTCCGAAATAAATTATAAACAATCATGTTCATTGTCAGGACTGGTGCAAATGACATTGTCACATATTGACATAGTCGCATAGGGGCATTGTCACATAATGGCATAGTCGCATATTGGCATTTTCGCATATGGCATTGTCACAAAATCACATGTAATTGAAAGTATTTCTAGGTTTTATTTCTATGTGCACGCTTGGGTGCACACACCACAAACATGTTTGAAAAGGAAATAGGGTTGCCAACCTTACGGTTGGTCAGTCGGTAAACATTTAACACAAAATGATTTGTCCGTAAACATTTGAGACCTTGTCCTGCAGAAATTTAATACAAAATTAAAAACTAGAATCTCAGAGATTGGAATGTGTTTCTTGGAATGTGTATGATCACAGGAAGGAAGTTGAAGCACTGATGACACAGTGTGCCAATAAACATGTGCTAAACATAGCAGTCGGCGTTGTGTGACATAGTATTTATTCATTGTTAGAGACAATTATATGGCACAGACATTTTTTTTAGCTTCTTGTCAAACATATGTTACATTTTACAATATATCTCCTTAACATATTTTAAAAAGTTGTTCGTTCCTCAGAATTTTGAAGATTTAAAATATTAATCAGTATATTTTATTGAATGAGTTGCCAACCCTGGATGGAAAGCCATTGAATGAGTTGGCAACCCTGGATGGAAAGCCATTGAATGAGTTGGCAACCCTGGATGGAAAGCCATTGAATGAGTTGGCAACCCTGGATGGATCTTTAGATTTAGGTTGACATTTATTCCGGGGGGGGGGGGGATTCGAGTTATTCATTTTTTATACCCCTTATTCAAAGTAATAGATAAAGCCATTGAATGAGTTGGCAACCCTGGATGGATCTTTAGATTTAGGTTGACATTTATTCCGGGGGGGGGGGATTCGAGTTATTCATTTATTATTACCACTATTACAAGTAATAGAGCGGGGTGGGGGGCGATGGTCCCTGGTGGCCAAACAATCACTGATGGTAGCACACACAACTTTTGCTGATCAACTACTCCCCCAGATGCAGCAATATTCTTTACCCAAGATAAAGGTGGACCTGCTGATCTTAAAGGGTTTAGCTTCAAAATATTACTTTTATGTATTGGTCCAATTATACAAAAAAGGATCAACTTTATTCAATTTATGTTCATCACTAAATAAGTAGGGTGCCTGTGGGAAGTCTGTTGTTAGTAAACTGTAGTCTACACAAGTCTCCACAAGTCACCCCCTTCTAGCAATCATGATTGAAGACTGGCTACATAGTAGTTGTTTTGTACACAACAGATTCAGGTGAACATTTCCAACACCAGCCGTATTCTGTTTCTATATCTGGGGTGTGTTACTGGAAGGATCTACCTGAGGTGTGTTACTTGATGGATCTATCTTGATGTTGAACACAGACACTTTGTTAGACCGCAGGTCACCGTGCGTGACGTAGAGCAGCGACTTCAACACGGCAATGCTGGACGGCCTTGAGATGCCATCTTGCGTCGTCAGCAGATGCTCCACGAAGCTGCCGTCTTTGCTGAACAGGGTCACGCGGCTGTTGTAGTGGTCGGCGACATAGATATACCCGGCGTCGTCGCTTGCCACGCCGTACGGAAACTTGAACTGTCCGTCACACCGTCCAAACGTACCGAACTGGCCGATGAAGCTCAAAGAGGAGTCGAAAATCTTAATGCAATGGTTGGCTGAATCGGAGATGACGTAGTTGCCGTCTTTCGTGATGCAAATGTATCTGGGGCGATTGAAGAAAGCGGTGGCGAAAGAAACGCCGTTGGTCGGCAGACAGCCGGGTTCTTGGTTCTCTTTTGTTGTCATAGATGGCGCCGTCAGTTCCGTCTGGTAGGCGCCATGTTTATTGAAGATACACACCGCGTTTGCTTCCTCGTCTGCAACCACAAACCGTCCCTTTGTATCACACTGTATACCTGTGGAGACATGAGCAGATCATAGCATTCAGACTAGATGTTGAAATAAAGGGATATATTGCAGTGAATAAGGTAAATGCCATGGTATTATCGACATTTTGTGTCTCCTTTCCGGGAATGGAGAAATTATGTGTACTTCCGGTTATAATCATAACTTTTTTATTTATATTTTTGGAAGAGAAAAAAAGGTGAACGGCTGGCATTATTTTATTTTTATGGTGGTGGAAGGTTAAATGAATTATCCTTATTTGTTGCATTTTTTTCTAAGCAGTCGTTTCCCCTACTACCGAACAAACATCCAGTTTTGTTCAACATTCGAAGCAGGCCCATTCACATAGAGATTAATTCGAAATAGATCCCGAATATTCAGTTGCATCTCCCGTTAGGATGAAGGAATCACAAGCAATTAAATATTTAGCAATACCAGCACATAGGAAATAGTGGAAAAGCGTACGTGGACGCTTGAAATCTTAAGACAGAAGACGGGACAATCAAAAGAGAACGTTTCGGCTAAGAGCCTTCTTCAGCAGACAGGACCAAAAAAAAAAAAACAATTTTAAAATGTTCTCCTTGTTTCTTCTTTTTTCCTATCCGCTAAAGAAGGCTCTTGGCCGAAACGTTCTCTTTGTGTTGTCCTGTCTTTAGATCTCAAGCTCCCACATATCTTGTTCCACTATTTCCTTCACTCAGCTCGAGAGCAGCCATTTACTATTCTTAATACATAGCCATTTTTTATTCGTTCAGAATGCTCCGTTCTTGCGAGTGGTTTTACAGAATATTCGGGGCCTCTTTCAGGCGAATCTCCATAAAAAGAAAAATAAATTCCACAAAAGATTCAACAATCTCAACACTCCATCTGCCTAGTCTGCGATGTCATGTTATCCACTAGGATTTTCTTAAAGTAGTTTTTTATTGACACACTCACTGTCAAGTCATAGCCCCGCCTGGCTCCACGGTCACTTATGACTTATTATTTATTAGTTTATACTTTATCAATAAAAAAAATTTCTTCCCCGCCCCACTCGTTCACTTGGCCCAGGGCCGTGCAGACGCCGAGGCAGCCCAGTAAATCATTCACGGCCCTTTCCGTACGGGGCGGATTTCTTTTAATCCAATCATTTTGATACAATTTGCTCGGGGCCCAAACATTGTCTTCACGGCACTGACTGTGACAGCCATTTTGGGGGGACAATAATCAAAGATTTTCTTTCATTAAATAGGACTCAGGACCAAGGAGTAAAAAAAATATTATACGTCAAAGATATTGAACTGAGTCAGGCACTTAGTAGGAATATAAAGAAAATGGGCGACGAATTTAGTAATAATATGGTTAATCTGGAACACATTCATTATTTTAATAGGGAAAACTAAGCTCAGGGACTTTTCTGTAGTGAATGACGCTATGGGCTATTGTAATTGTAGAAATTAGTAATATCTTGTAATAGAGGGTATTACTTCATCAGAGGACACAGTAAAATCCGGACGTTTTACTCCAGTGCAACTACACTGTAACGCTCTCTACGTTTCCTATTATAAGTGGACACTTAAGTGCTTGTAACTCACCTGTTGGGGCAGACAACTCCGACGTTTCCTATTATAAGTGGACACTTAAGTGCTTGTAACTCACCTGTTGGGGCAGACAACTCCGACGTTTCCTATTATAAGTGGACACTTAAGTGCTTGTAACTCACCTGTTGGGGCAGACAGCTCCGATTCTCCAAACTCCGCAATGGGCTCGCCGCTTGTCGACCAAAGGGACACGCACCCTTGCCGCTTTAACGTCACGGCCAGGGCGCCATCTGACGTCACACACGTGGCCCACGGCTCGGACCCGGCCTCCACCGCAAAGGTGACCTTGGGGTAGCCCTTGTTGTCGAAGAGCACCAGCTTGTTGGACAGCACGTCCGTCACCACCGCCTCCCCGCCCTCCAAGGGCTGGATGTGCGTGGCCTCCTTGATGACGTGGCTCTCCAAGGTTTGGTCCGGGGGCAGAGCCGTGGTGAAGTGGTGCACCAGCCGCACGTTGCAGTGTCTCTTCCGTATGCTCGGCATTCGCGGGAAGTTGACCGTGTTCGGATCTCTCGACTCCGACCTGACAAGGGAGTAGCTTCGCTCTAGCGGGGGTATTCCAGGCGCGCGACTCAGCACAGCTGCGCCATCATCCCCGCGGAGTTCCTCAATACCGGTGTCCAGCGTTTTATTAAAGAATTTGCTGTTCATGGCGGGGAGAGAAGCCTGGCTCTTTATCAAGCCACCTTTTGCCTTGGAGGAATATTTATGTTTGGAAAGCTTCCCCGGTGAAATGGTGGCTTTCCCTCTGGGTTTGATGTGGTCCTCTGATAAACTCTCTGAGCTCGTTTCCGACGAAGTCGACTTGGATCTATGCGTGAGGGTGTTCGGCTCCGGCCACGTTATCTTGTTAATCTGATCGCTGGAAGCGCTCATGAGAATCGGTAGGTGTCTGGCCGATTTCGGCCTAAAGAGTGTTTTAATCTTTTTGAAGTAGCCCGCCCCTTTCGGTGACATGTCGGGATTCGACATGGACAGGTGCAGCGATTGGGCAACACTACGTTGTAGGCCGGTCTCCGTGCTTTTGTGTTCGGACGAAGGGTACGTCTTAGACACATCTGCGACCGATGTGGACCTGACACGCATAAGTCGGATCTGTATTCTCGGCCGTGTCTCAACTGGTGAGCTGGGGGCCGAGGGCTCATCCGAAAAAGATACGTGTC